AATATACAATGGGTTTCCCTAAGGAAGGGGTCATAGTTTATTATCTTTGAATACTCAGCAGTGCTTGGCACTTGGCAGGTGTTTGATAGATGCTGTTTCATTCTTTTATACAATTAGAATGTTTATGAGTCATTTTGGGGGTGGTGTTCAGGGGGGTTTCCACCCTTAAATGTCCCTATTCAAGGTTTGAAGGGCCAGGACTTTAAGGCCAAGGTCTTACAGTGGATTTAGAAACTGTTAAAAGGGAGAGAGAGAGAAAAAAAATCAATAGAACTCACAGAACTACCAAGCTGGAGAGGTTTCCAAAGGCATAGTCTGGTATGTGGTGTATTTTGTTGAGGGCCAAGGTCATGGCCTGCAGTGCTGATAAACTTCTGAAAGCTTGGACAGGGATTTCTGTCAAAGCGTTGTCATCCAGCCATAGGTGCCTCAGGGAATGCAGGCCACTGAAACAGCTTGGGGGGACGTAGCTGATGTGGTTGGCATCCAGGCGCCTGGGGGAAGAAAGCAAGCAAAGAATGGGAACGAGGCAAAGCCAGGGCAGAAGATGGGCCTTGTAAGAAAGCCCTCACTCAACAGTAGAACCATTGCTTCTTGGGTCCCCTCAGTTGTAAAATTCCATGGTGATTCTCTTCCAGGCTTGTGGGTAACATGTTTTCACGCATGGAAGTGGCCTTCCCTGAGGTATAAAGTTTCAGTGTGAGGATCTTTCAGCTTTCCTTTCTGAGACCAGGAGAAAGACACCCCCTCCCGCTACCTCCCACCCCAAGCCAAATACATGCCTTTGCGATCCTGGGACTATTTACAACATACTAAACATACTAATCTATTAGTTTGTTCATTAAGCTCTGGGAAAAGATTGTTTCTATCTTTGAAAGGGACTGAGCAATTTTTAAAGGCCGTTAGAGATACGCCTCAGAGAGAGTAGAGGGGACCCCCTCCCTTTTTCTTAGTACAGTGCTGAAAAGCCTAAAAACTGCTGGCTTTCTTGCTCATCCTAACCATTTGCATTGGGCAGATGTTTGTTTTTCCTGACATTTTAAATGAATAATGAAATGGACAGCATTCTCAGTTTTTGCTTCCCCTTTCCACACACCGCTTTTTTTTTTTTTAATGGGGAAATAGATCTAAATATAGGTCTGGCTAATGAGCTCTTGCAGCTTCAGAGCCAGCAGAGGGAGTGCAATACATTTATTTACCCCAACCCAACACAAACTGTGGCAGAAATGACAGTGCCTTAACTTTTCTTATTGAAGTGGCTGAACAGACACCAATTAAAACTTTCTGTAAGGTGCATGAACAATAGAACCACCATCGCTCAGCTATGCTTCACTCATTTCCCCCCCAATCTGTTCTTAAGGCTCACACATTTGTTTGCATTTTTCAAAGCCAGGATTAAAAAAAAAAAAGAGTTGCATTTTAAGCAATCCATGTATTAGGAAGGATTAGAAAATCATGAGTGGATTTTGAAAAATATTTTCGGAAGCATTTAAGACTAAACAGATGTAGGAAGCACACCAGGATCACAAAATAATCCCCTGCACACCAAATCTAAACAATTTAGAAAGAGAATGCTCTGTGATAGGGAACTAATCTATATGGAAAGTGGCTTCCTCACTTTTAGTCACGAATGTCACTTCACTCATCCTCTGGCTCCTACTTTTACTGATTAAATGGGAACAAGTGATGCCTTCAAGGCTGTGGGCCAAGTGTTGATAATAACAGAGATAAGGTCACTTGGAACAAATTTTACCAGTTTTGTGTCATAGCCCACTCACAATTAAATTTCCAGTAGAACAGCTAACATTGTGGGCAGCAGAAGCACAGTTTCCAAATATCTCAAGTTTCTGTCAACAAACGGAGCTGGAAATGCTTAGGAAAACTCAACACTGCCTTTTCCCTTTTCTCCAGCAACATGCTCAGCCCAAGTTCAAATAAGGTGTAGTTTCACAGGGGATGAGGGGGTGAATGTTTCTGTTCAACTAGAAGTAAGGGGCATATTTAAGCTCTCCTTGATGATTGTGCTGATTACGTATTTAATTATGTAATTAATGAGCTTTCACATTTTAGTTGACATACTGTTCAATTACTGCCAGTTGCTTATGCACTGACACTTCAAGTGTCTTCTAAGAGTCCTGAAAATGACTACCTTTAAAGTTAAGTGCAAACATTGCGATACATTTACACAAAAGGCGCTCTCAGCATTGAGTCATAGGCTTGTCTTCATTGATATTTAAGTTACTACCAAAATTTCTCCTGGATCTTGAAGTGACCCTGGGATCAGTTTCCAATGTTAACGAGTTCCATTTCTTTGGATAGATATCTTTTATGAACCACTTTATCTTCCCCCAGAAAAAAAAAAAAAGGATGTAATCTGGCCTCTACACTATAAACTTAGAGTCATTTGCTATCTGAAATGAAACGAGTAAGACAGGACAATTCTTCATGGTCCTAACACTCCAAGTACTAATACTCCCAGAACGAGTACTCAGTTATCCTAAGTGCATCACTAAAAGGTTTCTTTGCCTGAACACTTTCTTCATATGAGAAGCTCCCAATAAATGATACTCCTTCTAAAACAGTGTTTTGAAGTCTATGTCCACCTGGCCTCAGTGGTCCAAACCTAATTCAGAGAGTGGTATATTGTTCACACTTAGAGGCATTATCTGATTTAATCTTTAACAGAAGATCTCCAGGTTAAACCAGAGTGTGGAGTTAATTATCCAGCCACGCATATGGGCGGCTCTGACCGAACAAGGTTAAGACTATGGACAAAGCAGCTGGCAGGGCACAAGTTGTGCCTACTCAGTGAGTAAACAAAGAGCTCAGATTATATCAATCTGGTACTTTTGGACAGCTGGACATTTTCTATTCATATGCTTGGAAAATGCAATATTTAAGCAGTGGGGTATAAGAAAAAATCACTAGGCAGGACATGAAAAACACAAAAATGTGGTTCTATAATATTACCGGGAGCAATAAAAATCATATAGCTCTACTTTTTAAGTGTTTCTTTGTTATTTCTATTTCATACAAGTCACAAAGGTTGTGTGTGTGTGTGTGTGTGTGTGTGTGTGTGTGTATGCAAGCAGCTCAGAATCTGTGAATTAGTGCAGAGATTTGGGATGAGAAATCTTGGGTTCAAATCAGTATAGTAGCTGTGTGACCATGGTCAATGCAATAGACCTCAGCTTTCACATCTGTGAAATGGGGACAACCCCCCTCTATCTTACAGGGCTGCTTTATGATGAAAAAAAAAAAAACAGTACAATGGAGCTTTGTCAACTGTAAAACGCCCTAATTTTAAATCATTATTACTTGAAGCTGGTTAACAGTTTGTGTTTTTGTCTTTTGCCCAACAAAACCATTCAGAAACAAAGAAGTAAACTCAAATTTTGTCTTAGTCAAAAGTTAGTTAAAAGGAATGCTAGTTTGCCAGTGAATTTCAGTTCTGAGAAATGCAGACTACTCCTTTCATCCCTCATAACAGAAGTAATTAATAGGTGTCTGCAATTAGACTTAAGAGAAGTGACCCTTATTTTAGCCTTCAGTGTTATCATTGTGTGTGTGTGTTTCAATATCACAAAGGGCAAAAAGTTTTGTTCCTGATACATTATTGAATACACTGTCTTCTTTCTAAAGGCTGGAGAGGGAGGCAAGGAAGCTACAGTGAGTGACTCGGTGTTCCATCCTGGGCACCTGGGCAGGTGGAGTCCATGTAAGAGCAGGGATGAATGTTACCTAATATTGTGTAAACTAAAAACAAACGGAACTGCATGTTCACTGTGAATACAATTCTGTAATATCAATGTATCCTATGCGATGAAGAACTAGAAGGTAACAAGCTCCCCCCCAAAAAAATCAGTCTGTTATGTCAGGCAATGATAAAAAAATTCTCATTTTCTTACCTTTTGTCTGAAGTTTTTTTCCATCATGTTTTCATGTATAAAAGGTTCATTGTATGAATTTTCTTTTTTAAAAGAAAAAAATTTAAAAAATCTGCCTCACATCCCTAAAAGGAAGTTTTGATTTCTAAATGGCATTATTGTAGGGACTAGAGAATCTATCAAATCATTCTTGTTATTGTTCCAGAAAATGGTCCGTTACATATATCTTTTATATGATACCTTGCCAGTGTATCACACAAACTTATATCTTTGTTTAAGAATGTCTTTGATGAGCCATTAACCACATGGAAGAAAGCGTTAGTCAAAAGATAAGCCATTGATCCTGGCTAATTCCATATCTGAGATGACTGTAATAATGTCAATTATTAACGTGTATGACTCGAGAGATAAAAAGCCAAAGGTGTGAAGAATGTTGCAGCTGTCGGTATAATAACTTATGAGTGTTCTTTCAATAAACAGAATGATGAAGCACTGCATTTTCATGGCTGACATTGCTATTGTATATTTGGATGAGCATTTTTCTTCATAAGTTTTAAAGAAATGACCAACTCTCTTGTACATACATTTTGCATATTTTGTGAGAGCATTTGGAAAAAATTCATGAATAGTCAAAAGTCCACAGCGAGTTAGTTCATTTATAAAATCTTAAGAAATAGAAGTACTTTTAATTATTCTCTTATTATTACTGTGAAATGCAATGATGTAGTTCCAAGCTTGTGTATAATTCAATATGGTACCTTAAGTCTTTTTTATGGTGAAATGTTACTTCTTGGAAATTTTATTGCTTTGGAACCAATGGATCATTGGAGTTGAATTTATTAGGAGATCATTCTAATAGTATGATCAGGAGAGAATTATATATATATATGAACTCTTTTAGATTGAATGCACTTTGATTTATATGGATTCTTCATGATAATATGAGTCACTTTCGTTGTTAGTGTTGTGTTTTTTTTTAAAATATTTATGGAGTGGCCACACTGTGAAATTTTAATAAAATTTCCCACCCGTATCCTAGGAAGATATTAATCACATGAATATATGTAGACATCATGATTGCTTATATGAAAATTTCTGCTTTTGTTTTTTCAGTATTATCCATCTTCTTTGTTGGTCAACTTAATGTAAATCAGGAAGAAAAACTATTGCCTTAGACTTACTTCTGAAAAGGTAAGAAAGATTTTTCCATTTCCCCAACTTAGGGAGAGAGGAAGTCTGCAGGTTCATTGAAGTGCAGTCATTTTGAGACTAGTCAACTGGCTTGACTAGTAGCCAGATAAAGTGCCCACAGAACTGAACCTCTGTCTCTCTGGTATCAATGGGAGTGCAAGATTCCAGTAAGAAATACATTGTAAAGTCAATTTATATTAAGTCGTTCAGTTTCTCAGAGGGTACCACTGCTGTGAATTTCATAGCTGGAAGATGATCTACAGCCAAAGTAACATGAGCATTAACTTCTTCAGTTTCATTTTTCCCCATAGAAAACAAAGACCTTTTTTTTTTGTCAGAGGAACCATTAGTCTCCCAGGTACCACCAGCGGTTGAAATCTGGGGGTCATTTTTGAATCTTCCATTGCCATCCAGCCAATGATTCACCAAGTTCTCTCCACTTATCTTCATCTCCTGAGACTCTCCATTTCCACTGTCTCATTCAGTCTCTTATCTCTTCACACCTGCATTACTACAACAGCCTCTGAGGCGGTCCTTCTCTCTTTGATCTCTTATCTCTTCAATTAATCCTGTAGGCTGCTGCCAGATTAATCTCCCTAAAATTGTGCTCTAGGTCATTGCCCTGCTAGGAATCCACAGTTCTTGCACATTACCATTCCTTTCAAACCCAAACTTCCATTCTGATATTCAGAGCTCTTCATCTGCCTTATCTAGCCAAACTTGCCTCTTATTTCTCTGTCCCAGTCAAGTCCTTCCCACAGAACTTCTGGGCCTCGTATTCATGAGCATCCCCTACCTCCTGTTGATCCAACCCTCTAAGACTTAATATTATGGTTCTTCCCAGAATCCTGTTCTTAAAGTGGAAAGTCCTCAGCTAAGACAATGGGAAAGCTAATTCTTGTAGGTAGATTAACTCCAAACTCCCTGAAGGAACCACTAGGGTTCCAACTGTTAGCTCAGGAAGGGCAGGTAGGAAAAGCCAGGATACAGAGACGAGAGTCTGGAGCCTGTGAGTACAGGCTTCAGTCAAACTGGGGGAGACTAGCTGATCCTGAGCAGCAGTTTAGAACACCACGTAGCATTTCAGGCTTCAGTTCAACAAGTATTCCGTGAGTGCTTTCTTTGCCTAGTTACTGTACCTGGAGCTGGAGATCCAGCAGTAAACCAGGAAGACATGATCCCAACCTTTATGGAGCCTGTTTTCTGCTAGGTAGTCAGATAACCAAATTATTACAATGAAGTGGTAGGTGAAGGGAAATGCACAGTACGAGGTTCTAACCTAAATTTCACGTTTCTTAGAGATCCAGATCTGGATTTCAAGTTGTTCATCTCTACTTAGTCGTTCCTCCTTAAACACATATGTTCAAGACCAAACTTATTACCTCCCACCCCGACCCTCCCCAAATGTAGTCCGCTACCAGTGTTCCTTATCTCAGCGATGGGCTTCATTAAGCACATGGTTATACAAACCAGACACTTAGGAATCATCCTCCACACCTCTTCTTCCTTCCTTCTTCATAGTTAATTCAGTACCAAATACTGGTAATTTCATCTAAATATATCTCAAATCTATCTGCCTTTCTACATTCCCACTGTCCCCATCCTGACCAAGTTCTCCCTTCTCTCCTCGTAATTTCAGTAACCCAGGTCTGATCATGCCCGTTCCTGCCTAAAATCCCCGAGTGGATTCCCATTGCTTTTACAATAAAGACTAAAAGCCTTGACATGTTCCAAATGGCTTCCAAGGGGTCCGGACCCCACCTGCCTCACTAGGCTCTTTTTTCACTTCTTTCCACCTCACTCTTTCTGCTTCAGCCACACTGACCCTCCTTCTGTTCTTTGATGTGCCGGCTTCCCCACCCCTCTCAGCCCCAAACCCCACTACAAGATTTCTCACAAGAAGTTCCCTCCATCTGGCATGCTCGTGCTCTTGGCTTTACAATAGGGACAAGATGCCCTTTTTATCAGGAAAGTGGAGACAAGTTCTACCTCACAGATAATGAAGGATCAGACAGTTGAATGTATAGGGAAACACCAGAAAAGGACAACTGGCCCACACTTTAAGGGATATTGTTGTCTTTTCTTTTTTCTTTTTTTTAAAATATTTTTATTGGGGAATTGGGGGAAGGGTAACAGACAAGTTGCTGTCCTTTTTGTTCTTCAGTCTAGTTGTGGAGGACGTTGCTTCACTGGCCCAAGTTGGCACCATCATTGTGCTCTTCCTGGGTGAGGCAGAGCAGTCGCCGGCTTCTGGACAGCCACTCACAGCGGGTGCTGGCCACTCATGCTGGCTGTGGCTACACACGGTAGCCCATGGCAACCACTGCAGCAGGGGCTGCAGCCTACACCATCGCTGGTGACTCACGGCAGCCCAGCTCCAGGTTGAGCTGTTGTTCAGCAACTTAGCTGCAGAGGGTGTGTCACTGACCCTCATATGTGGGATCCAAACCGGGGCCCTCTGGCGTTCTAAGCCAGTTCTTAACCAATGCGCCACTCAGCCAGTCCTATTGTTTTCTTTTCTTATCCAATGCATTTGTTTCTGTCCTGCAGCATTACAGCTTTTCTTTCTTTTTGTCAGGCTTCACAAGCATATGTCTAGAGGAACACGGATTTTGGTCAAACCTTTCTGTGGCATTAGTGCATTCTGTTGAGTGCCCATTCTCTGCACGGGTGCTCTGAGGGAGGCAAGACAGTGTGGTGGAAAAACAGGCAGACTTTGGAGCCAGAAAGACCAGTTTTTATCCCAGACTCACACAACATGATTCCATTACAAGCCATATGACCATGAGAAGGTCATTTAACCTGTCTGAGCTTTGTCTGTCCTCATTACTGAACAAGAGGGACTATCTCAGCTCCTACCGCCTGAGGTTTCTGCAAGAATCAAGTGGGATGATGCAGGTGAACTGCTCAATAAACACCGGTGTCTGATGCTTTTATAAGCATGGGTGTTTGATTGGTTCCACATTCTGATTTTGTTCTTGCAATGTTCCCATACGCTACTGCTTCTTGATGCACCTTTTCATAATTCGTAATAGACCCCATCTATCCTGCAAAGGGGCACTTTGTCTCTTTCACAATGCGACTTCCCATAGCTGTCATCCCATTAGCTTCTCCAAAGAGTTTAACCAACTTCCAAAGTTACTGTCATTTCATATCACAAGGCTAAAAATGTATATTTTACTTCTCACTCCACAACATCTCTCTTCTCCTTTAGATATCTGTGTATCTGATATGACTGTCACATACGTGGTTTATCATAGCGCTGGCAGATAACTTGATGCAAGGATCTTTCAGGCATGAGGTCTTGCATAAAATATTCACATTTTTTTCATATATGATTCCGAGGACAATGCTCACATTTGAACACTTGCTTCTTGTAAACACCATAGAAAGGGCTTTGCATCTGAAAATAATTTTCTTCTAATGTTTAAATGACGGAGGGTGGGGTGAGGGGCAAGGCAAAACTTCTCCTCCATGTGCTGGTTTGCACATGGTTCCATGAAATGACCTCTTAGTGTAATAGACAAAACCCTTGGCCTCTTAAAACTTCTAAGTCTACCTCCATCCCAAAACATACGTAATATTCTCATACTTTTGTGATAAAACAAAACAAACCAAAACTATGGTGTCTTTTTCTTATGTAGGCTTGTAATTTCTCTTTCTGGAAGGAATAATGTCACTAATACTAAAACCATTTTTTTTAAAACTCCTTTGATCCTTTAATCTTATTCTCTTGGCTACCTTACCTTGCCGTCTTTTTGTCTGCTCACACCTCTTTGTCTTCTGTTACTTCCGTCCCACTCTTTATGCTGGGTCTGAAACCCAATAGGCTCCTGGATATTAACAGAGGAAAACTGCTCCTGGTTCTAGGCTTGTCCTGTGAGCCCCACCTCTTCCGCCTCACCTATGTCTCTTAGTTACTCTCTTTTTGAACTACTATGAGCAAAACCCTACTCTGAAGAGTCTGGGTAAAGTTATGACTTTTCACAGGGTCCAGCAGTAGGGTCTGTTGCCCTGAAGCTGATATCACAATAAGATATATGGGCAGAGTATGTTCCAGGCAGGAACTACACATTCTTAAAATACAGTCTTGTGTTCTGAAGATGAATATTAGCTAATGGGAGAATAGAGACAACACTAAAGATACATCTAATTCTCCTTTCATTTTTGATATACCAACTTATTATTTTTGTGATTGTGCATATTCCACAATTAGCTTCGGTAGTGTAGACTTGCAATAAAAACCAACATGCATTAAATAATACTCTGGTTAACTGAACAAGCATGAATGTGTCATTCTCTTTGCTCATCTTGAACTTTACCAATGACAGTGAGATGCTTGAATGTCATTAATGACTATCAACAAATGAAGCAAAAAATTTTCTCGTAGATCAATTTTTTTTTTTTTTTTAGTGGGATCCGAACCGGGCCCTGTTGCTCAGAGCTGGCATCCCAAGCCAATTCTTAACCAACGCGCCACTCAGCCAGCCCACAGATCAATTTCTTAACTATTAATACAAAGGTACAGGGTATAGGAAGGTTAAGTTTTGAGTTTCCATCAAATCACTGTCATCTGACCCTGGTCCTGAAATGACTATAATGCCAATAGTTTTTTGGTGAAATACAACTCATTGTGGATTCTGATTACATTTCCTATTCCCTTCCAAAACACAGAAATTAAGTTATATGTGATTACATTACCAAAAATCCAGTTGGTGTCTGGGCAGTCACAGCCTGTCAGAAGCCAAATGTGCGTATTGTTCAGGGGCCTACTCTGGGCTACTGGGCTCTGGCACGTGGGTTTATCCTCTTAGTTTTTAGTGGGGGCAATTTGTAAGCATCAGGAGAAAGCTAAGGGAATGCAAACATACCTATGTGTTTTCATTATGAACAAAGCAAAATATATATTTTGTTTATGTTACATGGAAAATTACATTCTTTGAAACATGAGTACGATTTGTTTCTTCCACACA